GACTGGTTGGATTAAATTGAACTCGGATGAGGGACGACATCCAGGTGAAGGCGCTACAACTTGTGGTGGGGTTTTTCGGGATTGCCAAGGGCGGTGGATTGTGGGTTTCTACAAATATATAGGCATTTGTACGGTTGTGGAAGCGGAATTATGAAGAGTGTTAGTTGGTCTATCATGTGCATGGGAGAGAGGTTCTCGTTAGGTTGAAGTTGAGTTGGATTGTCAGCAGGCTCTTCATCTTCTCCAGCCGAATCGTATCGGGGGTGGTACGCTATCTATTCTTGTCCGTATCCATGCTATTCTGCAGAGGAATTGGTGTGTTCGTTTTCAGTACATTTCTCGCTAGAGTAATTGTGCGGCGGATCATTTGACTAAGTTGGTCGTCGCGGATGATTTTGGGGTTCATTATCTTGAGCATCCTCAGGCAGGGGTTTTACCGTTATTAAGTAATGATGATGTTATGTTTGGTTGTGTTCTAAGTTTGGTTTTGTTTTTTGGGAGTTGGGTGTGTACTCTTTCCTCCACTTAGATTGGAGAGGGTTTTAATGAGTCACACAGAACTCTTCATGTGTATGATGTTCCTTAATCATACTTTCTTTACCCAAAAAAATATAAATTTAGTATTTATATTGTTTGAGTTCATTTTTTAATAATTTAATTATATTTAATTTTTTAAAAATATAAAAAAGTGTAAATGAAATTTCTAAAATATAAAAATTATAACAATTTTTTTTATTCTTTTACTAAATTCTGGATTTTAATTTTTTTTTTAGATTTTTTATGCTTTAATTTCTTTTTATTTTAAATTTTTAAAATTTAAATAGAATCATAAAATTTTAAAAATATCTAGAAAATTACTAAAAGATCATATTTTTTGAATTAATAATTTTCAAAACAATTACAACTATGCTTAAATATTTTAAAAATATAAAAGCTTTAGAAAATATACAAATTCTACAAATAGAAAGATGTAAAAAAAACAATTTTTAGATCTTTTAATAAATTCTGATTTTAAGAAAAAAATTATGATTTTTTTAGAATTTTAGTATTTTTACTTTTTTACACAATAAAATTTAAATCACATCATCAATTTTCAAATAAAAATGTCAAAAGACGAAAATAAAAGCTAAAGGGTCATACTAATCCAAGAAATAATAAAAAATTTAAAATGAGAATTTTGCTAAACTCGAGCGGTCATTTTAGGTATTAAATCAGATTTATATTTTTATTATTTATTAATGGTTCATCGGTGTATAATGATGTTAAGCTCAAATGAGCCGTACAATGTCCTGTTTCCGGTGAGATTTGAGCTTTATTTGTTAATTAGGTCATCATAATCACCAAACATTGATTAGAATCTTTGTTATAAAAATTCAAACTTTTGTCTCCATTGATAAAATTTCTGTAGACAATTCATACAAGTCTTTTTTTTTTTATAATTCATGTATCCGTTGTATATTTTATATAATACTCTTATTTAGATTATTTATATATTGGATTAATACAATAAATATTTCATATTTATGTTATGATAAATTATATCAATAGTTGGCATCGAAACCCCACTTCTAATTTTATACCCAAAATGGGTTGAGATGTTGATTTTAACACATCTTCCTCGATTTTGATACCATGCATGAAAAATGGTTAAATGATTTTAGAAAACCTCTCAAGTCTCATACTCTTATTATTGAGACCCAAACCATTTATAACCACAAGACAACACTCTTGACCATGAAATATTCGTTTTAAGTCGTTTAAAGCTTCAAGTACATTCGCATACTTTCATTCAAGAATTAAGCACGATGTGAACATTAATGCACCACTTGATTATGTGAATGATATTCAAACCAAATTTATATGTATTTGTTGAGAACGGATATTGAATCGACTCGTTTTGAGATTAATACACGAATTAAAAATTTATATTAATTTCAGAAAAATTATGTCATCAAATCCTTAGACTTGGAATTACTACAGTTCTCAATATGATGATTATTACGTTTTAGCATAGTTAAACATTGTCTTTAATCGGATAATTATAAAGGTTGTGCTTGAACATGACAAGGAACATTTAGTGAGATGTAAGTGGTTAAGATGAAATTTATCTCTCTTATCAAAAAAGGGATATCTTAATGCCCCTCGATGGGTGAGACAGAAAAATGCATGGCCGTGCTTAAATGAGTTGATAGAGATTAATATCATTTATTTAATCAGTTCAATTAGATATTTAGAAATTGAAGATAGAGCGATATAAAGTTGACATTTTTCATATCTTATATTATATCAAGATATCATGAGATAAAAGGATTATGACATAAGTTGTATTAAGATTGTCTTAGATCATGAGCTTTTCATTTAACTTGGGTAGTTGTAATATCTTGCTAGAGGTCACTAATGACTTTTATGATCAAATGTGATTTTATCTACTGCTAAAGTTAACTGAACATATAGGGTCGCACACTTAGAATGAATAAGAATTGTCGTGGTTATTATTATAAATGATAATTTAAGATAATGAGATTATTTTAAATTATATTATAATATATTATTTATTATTTGAATTTAAATAAGTTAAATTCATATTATTTTGATAGAATATTGTGTTTATTATTATTTCTTTTTTGATTTAGAAATAATATTAAATAAATAATGTAGTTAAATAATATTAGTATTTGGATGAATTTGATTTTCTTATCAAATAAGAAATCTTCTATTATTTATTTAAAAATATTTTAGAAAAATAATATTTATTTTATCATTTAATTTAAAATAATTTTAAATTAAATATGATTTTTAAAAAATGAAGGATTAATTAATCCTAACTAAATCATATATATATATATACACGTGATATATGATTAGGGTTACAGGTTAATCTTTCACAACTGTCCATAACAAAAAAAAACATTTTTGAGAAAAATACATTTGAACTAGCATTATATAACCATTCTTCATTCGTTCACATGTGGATACTTGTATAGAGTGATCGTCTTTCAGAAATGCAACATTTTAAAAATCTAAAGAGAATCAAACACAACTTCATAGGATTTTCAAATAAGAGATTAAGGTAATCTCACGACTTTATTTTACTGCAGCTAGTATGATATGCATGAGATCCTAGGATTGGTCGAGGTAATTTTTTGAATGTTTGTTGTTTTCTTTGCCCCGATTTCCAACACAATAATTTGACCCATAAACTTTAGATAAAATACTAGTTTGACTCTAAATTTTAGTTAAAATATCATTTACCACCTAAATTTTAACTAAAATATCAATATGATCCTTGAATTCAACCAAAATCTCATGTTATCGGTCTTCACTCATCATCGTCATAGTCGATCACCTTCGATCAACATCTAATAATTAAAAATAATTAAATACATAGATTAAATTTATAATTTACAATGCTACGGACTGGTAGAAATTTTTTCCTAATACAAATAAATACATCTAGGGTAAATTACATGTTTAGTACTTAAATTATCAATTTTGATCATTTTAGTACCTAAAGTTTTAATTTTTTTTCTTCAAAATCATACCTAAAATATAATCTTTGTTTCATTTTAGTTCCATGTTTAAAATTTAACGTTAAATTTTGAAAAAAATTGAAAGTTTAGGTACTAAAACGGATCAAACTGATAGTTTAGGTACTAAAGGCATTAAATTTTTAACAACGGGTACAAAAATGAATTGAAAACTAAACGTTAAGTATGATTTAAAAAAAATAAAAGTTTAGATACTAAAACAAACTAAAACTAATAGTTTAAATACTAAATGTGTAGTTTACCCATACATCTAATAATGTAATATGTCAATATGCCATTCCACCAAATCAAAATAAGGGCTAGGGTTAGGTAATGATAAAATCCTCCCATCCACCAAATTTGATAATTCCTATATTTATAGTAAGGTTGTATATATAAAATACATGACACTTAATGTTTAATTAATTTGTATTATTTTAAAGAATAAATTATTTTTTATAATCATCTATATTTGATTCTATTATTTCATTAAATTCAGTTTCTTTTATTTAAAATATTAAATTTATATCTCCAATATTATTTAAATAATCTAATACCTTTGAATCTTTGACATAAAATAATCTAATACCTAATTTCGTTAGTTCAGTTACTAATTGATAATTGTTCAAAAAATTACTAATTGATAAGAACAAGTTAAATTTTAAGATATAGAAGTAAATTTCAAACTAACCATTATCTTTTTAGTAATTGATTTTATTAGAGATACATATTTTAGTACACTAACAATGAATATTTTAATCTTTCAAGAGATTAATAAACTATCATCATTAATTAATAGTTTAATATATATATATATATATGACATGTTAATTTTTCTTTTATATTTTTTAAATAATAATATTTTTAAAATTAAACACCTTTTATTTTGTTTTATTTGTGATTTTAATAAGGTTTTAACTAATTTCATGAGATATAAAATTAAAATTTTACACCAACTTATTTCTTTTTATTAATTTGTGATAGATATAAGACAATATATGTTTAAATATAATCTCAATCATTTGACATTGAAAGCTCATACATCTAGTATGTTAAAACTTGAGACCTCAAGAAATAATAACAATTCCTACACCAACTCAATTATTTTTTCTTATATTATAGATTTATGTATAATAACTTTAATTAAATATATTATACAATTTAATATATAAATACTTATCATATAATTTTGATAAATATTTAATAATATTTTTTTTTCATATATCTTAAAAACCATGGGTAGTCCAACATCGTCGTGCTTATCCTGACTCAGCTTCCCTTCTGCTCCAACTTCATTCGTTACTGGACCTTAAAACTACGTGATCCAATGTCGTTTCGTGAGCAAATTCCAAAAATACCACAGATTTCAATGGGCAAACAAATACATTTTCCAGAGGCGGAGTCTCCCAAGCGCTGTATATACTAACCTAAAATGACGTTATCACCCTTTTCTTTGACTTTAAAATGACCCAGGACAAATCTGATAGATTCACTCGCCACTGAAAAGCAGTTAGGTATAACCACCAAATTATACACTCCTCAAGCTAAAAAAGAGATGTCTCCGTCTTTGGACACTAACGGCGATGTCGCCGCCTTAAAATCATCGCCGATCTCCGGACGTTTTGCCGCCGTTTACAGTGAGGTTCAAACGAATCGTATCGATCACGCTCTTCCTCTCCCTTATGTTCTTAGAAACCCCTTCAAAATTGTTGATGGTCCCCCTAGCTCCGCCGCCGGCAACCCTGGTTATTCCATCTTCTCTCGTTATTTCTTTATTCACGTTTTTCATTTTCGATCCATCTTCTTTATATATATCTGCATAATCATGCAAGTAAAAAGTTGTCTTTGGTTCAGTTCACTGAACTGGAATACCGCTCTTTTTAAAATTGAAATATTTGGCAGATGAGATCGCAAAGCTGTTTCCGAATTTGTTTGGGCAACCCTCGGCGATGCTAGTGCCAAACGGAGTTGACAGTGTTGGATCTGATCAGAAGTTGAAGATCGGTGTCGTTTTATCTGGAGGACAGGCACCTGGAGGTCACAATGTGATTTCTGGAATCTTCGGTTAGTCTTTTTTTTTCCTCAGTTACATTGTTTCAATAACATTGCAAGTTGCTTTAGGAGTTTGATACATGTGCTAATGGAAGTAAAATGATTTATTTCTTTATTTGGAATGATAGATTACTTGCAGGATCGCGCGAAAGGTAGCATTTTGTATGGTTTTAGGGGAGGTCCTGCCGGGATCATGAAGTGCAAATACATAGAATTGAGTGCAGATTATATTTACCCTTACAGAAATCAGGTATCATTTGCTGGTTTTTGTAGAAATTTAAATGTTAAGAAGCAAAAGCAACTAGCGAAAGAAACCAAATGACGCCTTAAGCAGTGCATACTTAAATATCCAGTGTCTGTTAGTAACTGCTGCTGTTGGGGATTTTGATTGTTTTGGAATTTCTATATTATCTTGTAAATTATTGGTGCGAGTATATAGTAACATAGCTTCAGCTTAACTATGTGATCATGGCATGACATATTGCCATGCCACCTACATTACAGGTTTTTATGTCCAATATTAGCATATCTATGTTTTCATTTGTCTCACGCTGATTGATTTTAGCTTTGCATCTATCCATTACAACATTTGTGCTGACCCTTAAAGCAGAGTTCCTAAGTCCTAACAATTGTGTTTCTTTATTTATTCTAACCAGGGCGGCTTTGATATGATACGCAGTGGGAGAGATAAGATTGAAACTCCTGAGCAGGTAACATTTTGTCTGTATTTACTTCTAGTTATTTAGTTTTACTGATAGTGGCCGACTTATGTGGGTACCATTTTCAGTTTAAGCAAGCTGAAGAAACAACATCGAAGCTTGATTTGGATGGGCTTGTTGTTATTGGTGGGGATGACTCAAACACAAATGCTTGCCTCCTTGCAGAAAACTTCAGGTACAGTTAGAGAAAATTTTAATTGTTGACGTATAATGATATAATATGCTTATATATAGTTTCTACAACTTGTCCATTAGGGGTAAAAATTTGAAAACTCGAGTGATTGGATGCCCAAAAACCATCGATGGTGATTTGAAATGCAAAGAGGTTCCCACAAGTTTTGGGTTCGATACTGCTTGCAAGGTAAGGCTATATTTGCATTCACATTTTATAATTGTAATTATAGTTTCTTTATATCATTTTTGCAAGTTGTTCTTGGAGACCCTTTTGCTGTATATTCCACTGGTTAGATATGCACTCATGGTTGCTTATCTTCTTATAGATATATGCTGAAATGATTGGGAATGTAATGATTGATGCACGATCAACTGGAAAATATTACCACTGTAAGTGCTTAAAGCTTTCAAATTACATGAACCTGTTTAAAATGTTCATACATATCGCATGTGTGATTGACTACTTTTTGGGTTGTTTTGTTCGTTCATACAAGTAAAACACTTGTGTACGTGTACTTTTCAAGATAGTTTAGGATAAACATGGCTTCGCTGACTCTTGCTATACTATGATTATATATGTTTATTACACTGTTCAATTCCCCTGTCTGTGTAGTTGTGCGGCTCATGGGGCGTGCAGCTTCACACATTACTTTGGAGTGTGCCTTGCAAACTCATCCTAACATTACTATTATTGGAGAAGAGGTATTTTATAAACTATTCTTATCTCTTTGACAGTTTTTGTTGTTTGTGTGACCAATAAATTTGAAGGTCTACAGTTCAACTGTTTTAGGACATTGTCTTTGTACGTTATCAAATAAGTTTTCTATTTTTTTTTTTGAGTTTTAGGTTTTTTAATGATTAATTGAAGATAAATGGTTGGTAAAATTTTGTATGGGGTATGTTACCCTTATTGGCTACATCTTGGATATGGGTTTGAGGGTATGATTCTCCAAAACAATAAAAAATTAAAAAATTCAGCATACCTATGTCTGATGCACACACATTTCCATTATCACCACCAAGTCCAAGTAACAGGTCCTGAAGATACTTGGATAAAAAGCTTTCTGTACAGATTCATAGTTGATCAATGTATATTTGTTGCAGGTTGCTGCCAAGAAGTTGACGCTTAAAAATGTAACAGACTACATGGTTGATGTCATTTGCAAACGTGCTGAACTTGGGTACAACTATGGTGTGATTCTCATTCCTGAAGGTCTCATTGACTTCATTCCTGAGGTATTGCTCATCATCAGCTGATCTTTTTTTTTTTATCAGATTATTTATTTCATTCTCATAATGATTTATAGTTGGGAAATGTAATGCTTTGCTATATGCAAACATCTGCATGTGTACTACTTGATTGATATGCATGCTTCCGTGTGCTTTCAGGTCCAGCAGCTTATTGCTGAACTAAATGAAATTCTGGCACATGACATTGTTGATGTAGATGGCCTATGGAAAAAGAAACTTACCGATCAGTCTCTAAAGCTTTTTGATTTCTTACCTCAAGCTATTCAAGAACAATTGATGCTTGAAAGGGATCCACATGGAAATGTTCAGGTATTTACCTTGTAATGATGTTCCTCTGCTTATCTTTGTTTGCGGAACTATTTCATGGTTTCCAAATTCACAATTTAATATCTGTTCTTTTTATACATTAGGTTGCCAAAATAGAAACAGAGAAAATGCTCATTCAAATGGTTGAAACAGAATTAGAGAAGAGGAAGCAGGAAGGTTCCTATAAAGCTGATTTTAAAGGACAGTCACATTTCTTTGGGTACTAATCGCTATCTGTCCTGAAATGTCATTTTTTTGTAGGTTTAAACCTTAGTGCTGAGTGACTTGATCCATAAAGTGTGTTTCTTATCTGATTTTATAATTTTCAGTTATGAAGGAAGATGCGGTTTGCCAACTAACTTTGATGCCTCATACTGCTATGCATTGGGATATGGTGCTGGAGCTCTCCTCCACAGTGGAAAAACTGGATTGATATCATCGGTTTGTTTTCATCCCTTCCGCTGCCTTCTTGCCACCATCCAACCCTTTTGCTTATGCGTTGATATTTATATTCAATTGGCCATTTAAATTTAATGTTTAAATTGTTGTATTTTTTTTCATTTTGTAATGTTATCAGGTTGGAAACTTGTGTGCCCCTGTTGAAGAATGGACTGTTGGAGGGACTGCTCTTACATCAATGATGGACGTGGAGAGGAGACATGGTAGGGTTACTCTTCAGCCTATCACTTCAATCAACTTAGAACTTCCATTTCTTATTTCCTTTGTTAATTTATCCTGGTGAAGAACACTTTTTAGGATTTACATGACCTCATATTGTACATTTAGTTTTGTTTTGTAGGTTTACATTTTGCTCTGTTAATTTTAGAATACACTTGACGAGTAAAATAAACCTACAAAAAATGGAAGAACACTATTAGAATGCACTTTAGATTTTAGTATAATTTTAGTATAGAGAGGCTTTTAGCAAGTAAAATGTAATTCGGAACAAAAGCATACACCATATTATAGTGATGCCAATTTTGTGACCTTTCTCTTCTTAAACTAAACAACGGTCTTCAGAAATTATCTTGCCTTCATGTGCACGCATCTTTCGGTTAATTTCTTCTCAAATTTGAACACAAGATTGACATTGAAATGATTTGCAGGTAAATTCAAGCCTGTTATCAAGAAGGCAATGGTAGAATTGGATGGTAAGATATGCAGATTTCTTATTTTGCCAGTGTTGTTTTGTTTACACTATTCAAGATCATGAGGCCACAAGGTGTTTGTTATGACGAATATGCAGGTGCACCGTACAAGAAATTTGCTTCCATGCGGGAGGAATGGGCCCTTAAAAACTGCTACATTAGTCCTGGTTGGTGTTGAATTTTATATACTTGACATTCTTTTCGTGTATATTTGTATAATTTGTCTGTCTTTAACTTTTTCCTCAATGTATTTGGGTATCAGGTCCTATTCAATTTGTTGGGCCATCTTCCAATGCAGTTAACCACACTCTGCTCCTTGAACTCGGTGCTCAAGCTTAGAGGTATTGATTGAAAAACTGCTATAGTAGGAAAGCTCAAATGTCTAGAGATAGCAAGTCAAACTTTGTAGTTTGTTTGTCGTGCTTCATTCTTGTTTATTTTTCCCTTTGAGTTTTGAAACTTTATACCTTTTGAGGTTTTTGGACCCTATAATTAGCTCTATATCTATGGATTTTAAAGCCTGTAAGAACCAATTATATATGTTACTGTTCTTGTAGTTGAGTTTGAAGCGTTTTGATTAGCCATTTTGGTAATTTTTTACTATTATCATCTTACCGAAAGACATTTTATAGATTGTGCAATGCCATTACTTTTAAATTTCAGCGCATTCTCTCCTTTTTGGTGTGGGATTAATGCCCTCACTCCTTTCTCAGTCGGCGTTATGTTTATCTACCCTGCCTATTACAACCATTGATGCTTTCGGCGTGAGATCAGATAATTTGGAGTAAAGTTGTAAATGAGTCGAGTGGAGTTTGAGTATTATTGAATCTGACTCAACTTGAAACTTTGTAAGTTTAAAATTATGAAGTTTGATTTAAATTCGAAATCAAAAGTTGAAGTTCGATTCGAAAGCTCACGGGTTTAAAATTATAAGTTAAGGGTTATCGTTGCCCTTCTAGTAGATTTAATTTATCACTCTATTGTATTTTTGTATCAAGTCTTTAAAGTTGTTTAATTGTATTATTTAATACTCTATCCCTCATTTAAAACTTTAAATTATAAATCCTAAGGTAGGATTTATGATTTATAAACTCTAAGTTGAGTTAATGATTTATAAGTTATAGAGTTGGGGATTAGGGTTTATAATTTAAGGTTTTAAGTAAGGGTTAGGATATAGAATGATACAATTGAGTAATTTTGAGCGTTAAATTGATACGAAAATATGATAGAGACGAAAGTGATAAATTTAAGTTAACTTTCTGCTTAAAGTTTTTAAGCTAACTCAAAATTAAAGATTGAAAATTTAAATTGAAAATTGAAAATTAGCTTAAACTTGAATTTTTTTTTCTTAACTCAATTAAAATCAAAACTTGAGGTTTGTTCAAACTTGAATTCAAGTAGATTTTGAACTTTAAATATACGAAATCAAGATATTTTGCGAAAATATACTACGCTCTCTCATATTTCCGGTACTAATGTTTGATTTAAAAAGAACTCTCTCAAGTTTCCGGTACTAAAGTTAGTTTGATTTAAAAAAAATGCTGTTTAAAAAATTAAAAATTAGTCTTAAAAATATTTTTTCAAAACTAAAAATTATTTTCATTAAAAATATTTTGTAAAATTGAAAATAAAAGTTTTTAATTTAAGTGGGTTTGAATCATGTAAACACTATATTTTTCTCAATAATTTTTAATTATTATATCTGTGTGTCATTAGATTGATTTCATATAAACGTAAAAGAAATATTTTATTTACCATATTTTTATTACAAAAAATAGACAGTCAATTGTGTTATCACATTTTTATTATTGAAAATAAAATTTTATTTTTATTTATTAAATATATTTTTTAGTTTCTAAAATATAATGATATAGAAAATATTTTCAAAAAGCAAATGGAGCTTGATTCTTCCGAAATCTAAATAGTTTGTCTTACTAAAATTGTCATATAATCAAATTTTTTAAACTTACTTGTTAGTGTTATGTTATTTGATTGCACCACGCATTTTAAATTTTAAATTGATCTTCACAACATTTACAATGAGCACTCAAATTATCAAAATTGATTTAATCAAAAAAAATTATTTGATATTGATTTCATTATTAAATATTAATATAAATAGATAAATTATATTTAAAAAAAAGTAAAGCAAATTTAATTATTATATAAATAATTTAAAATTGATTTGCTAAAAATAATTTAATTAAATTTTGATGATATAATCTATTTTTTTTGTCTCGAGGCAAATATTAACTACTAGTTAGTGTAATAGGATGATGAATTAATTTTTTTAAGTAAAGTTAAGGAGTTTGAATTCTAGTATGACAAATAGAAAAAAATAAAGTAGAAAGATCGTTTCATAATAGATCTTTGTAGGATTCAAATTAAATTAATAAATTAGATATTCTTTTTATAGCTTTCACGAGGTTCTTTTGTTTTTTTTTATCTAAAATATTAGATAAATTTATAAGCTAAAATAGATAATTTAACTTCTGAAAGAAAATATTTAAATTATATAAAATTTTCAAGAATACGACTGCACTTCAAGTACTCTATCAGTCCATTTCTGATAATCACTATCAATCAATTAGAAATATTGTGATGGTTTTTTCAACAACAAAAAAAAATCAAAAAAATCAAATCTGATTTTTAAAAAAATTAAATCTTCTTCGAAATTGTAAGTTTTCTTTTTAAAAAAATAAAAATGTATAAAATATATTTATTGGATTAAGTTTAGGATTTCTATGAATTGTTTATAGTTTTATGATTTTTTAAAAAAATAATTAAACATATAGTTTTATTAAAATATAATTTTATCAAAATTGTCAATACTTAAAAATGACTATCATAATTACAATAGATTTATTTAAATCTCTAAATAATTTTTTAAAAACAGCATTTTTTTTATAATTTTTATGAAAGATAAAATATTTCCTTAAATTTTTCGTTTCTCTGTTTTAAATAAACAAAAAATAAAAGTTTTAGAGCAAAAGTAAGGAAATATAGTTTTTAAAAAAAATAAAAGAAATATGATATAAAAAATCTTAGACAAATTTGGCATGTAACCTATATATATACAATGCTGGAACTTAATATTTCAAAAATCAATAACAAATCAATACCGATTGAGATAACTTATTAACTATAATCTAGTAATATTGTAAGAAAATTGTACGAGTACTTTCTCTCTAATGGCAATTTTGAAGCAACTTCTCACTACCACTGCTCTTCCATGGCGAAAGATGGGCTCTCCTAAAATCCTAACCCCAACCACAACCACAACCACTTCGCCTTCTCCCTCAACTCATCTCCTTCATTCTCGATGCACCGTAAGTTTCTTATATATCTTCTTTTCTTTATTTGTAAATGTTTCAAAACTTTTGGTGGTGTTTGGTTTGCAGGAATCCTTAGAATTAGGGGAAATTGGAATCCAATTCTACCCCATGTTTGGTTCAAGTTTTGAAAGGGAATTAGAATCTCTCATGACTTCAATTTTCCAGAGGGAAAGTGAATTCCATCAATTCTATGATGGAATTCAATTCCCTTGTTGGAGGGAATGTGAAATTTGACCATACTACTCTCATCAATCTTTTGGTAATTTATTAATATATTTTGATTAGGATTAGGGATGGCCACTCAATTCGGACTCGACGGGTTCCGACCTGACCCGATCGGGTCAGATTTTTTTAAAAAAAATCGGGTTCGGGTCGAGTCAGATTCGGGTTTAGGGTGAAAAATATCCGACCTGACTCAACCCGAAAAATATATAATTTTACCTTATATATTTAAGAATAATTACAATAATACCCCTCTATATATAATTTTTTTCAATTAAGTCACTGTTTTTATTGAATAAATTTTTTTATTATTTCGGGTCGGGTTTCTAATTCATATATTCGGGTCGGGTCGGGTGAAACTTTATTTTGGTCGGGTCGGTCATTTTTTTAAGTGTGATATTCGGGTTCGGGTTTAGGATGAAAAATACCCGACCCAACCCAAAAATATATATAAGTTTACCTTATATATTTAGGAATAATTACAATAATACCCCTCTATATATAATTTTTTTTCAATTAAGACACGTTTTTATTGAATAAAAATATTTTTTTTATTATTTCGGGTCTGGTCTGGTTTCTAATTCATATATTCAGGTCGGATCGGGTGAAACTTTATTTTGGTCGAGTTGGGTCGGGTCTTGGATGGAGGTTTCCTTGTTCTCAGGTCGGGTCGGATGGAGGTTCTGTAATTTGGATGATTTTAACTTATGATGTTTATTAGCATGATTTTTATAATTTATTGAAATGAATAATCAATCAATCAATAAAATTAAAATTTAATATTTTTTAAATTTTATAATATATTGTTACATGTAATTTATAAAACAAACTAAAATTAAGCAAAAAAACAAGAAGGGCAATCATGTCATTTTACATTACTGAAATCAAATTCATCTAGCATGTCTGCAAACCAAACAGAATATGAAATTGAATTCCAATTCAATTTCCTGTCAACTAAACATAATATGGAATTGGATTTCAATTCCTGACAGATTTCAATTCCTTCACAAATTTCAATTCCCTAAGAAATATTCCAGCGAACCAAACGCCACTTTAGTGATGAGAAATTAAGGAATCAAAATTCTATATCTTCTATATCAGTTTTTATTCTGATCCTAAACTCAAATGCTCCTGCTTGGCTGTGAAGGTGAACTTGTTGATGCTGTTCCGTTCATGGGGGAATCCATCACCGATGGCTCTCCATCTAACTTTTGGAAGCGTATGTTGTGCATGTACTTCTCATCATGAGATTATTATAGAAGCATGTGATGTGAAAACACTAATACGTCTTATGTTTTGTGATTTGGGAGCAGAACCTGGTGACCGTGTAGAAGTAGATGAGCCAATTGCACAAATAGAAACCGATAAGGTACTTATTAGTTAGGTGACTTCCTTCTAAGCATCCACATCTTTAGTTTTGTCCGTCAGATAATATTTTTCTTCTTATTCTGAATAAGTAAGACTTTCCCCCCTTATATGATACAAATAGGTGACAATTGATGTGAGTAGTCGGGAAGCTGGTGTAATTGAACAGGTAAATATCTGATAGTTTACATGCTGGTCTGTTTTAGGAAAAGTTAATACTTGATTTGATCTTAAACTAATGTTTATCGGTTTCCAGTTGGTGGCCAAAGTAAGCGACACTGTGGAGCCAGGTACGAAGATAGCTGTCATTTCAAAACCGGTGACGTAACTCATGTTGCTCCATCAGAAGGAAAGTCTAACCAGGCGGTTTCCGAGCCTTCTCCTGCGAAAACAATGAAAATAGAAACAGAGAAGCCTAAAGCATCTGCTCTGCTTCCTTCCAAGCCTTCAGCTAAGGAACCTCAACTTCCTCCTAAAGAGAGGCAGAGGAGAGTAAGTATAATAGGACATATAATTCGACATATCATTCTTCTTTTATTTTTGGCTGTTACTGAAATATGTGATTTCAGGTCCCTATGACTAGACTTAGAAAGCGTGTTGCAACACGGTTGAAGGACTCTCAAAACACTTTCGCCATGTTGACGACATTCAATGAAGTTGATATGTAACTGCCATCCCTTCTTATCCTACCGTTGTTGGATGTGAATTACCACTCTTTGTTCTTTTGGTCCTTATGGTTCCACAAGAGATAAAATTTATGCTGTTTGGATTAGATTAATCTTTTGGTAGGATTTTGAAATGGATACACATCTTTTATTGGGATATTCAACTTTCATAAGTTTCATGTTATTCTAACCTGATACTGATTTAGTTTTTGCTCATTTGCTCTCTACTTCAGTACACGATACCAGGACCGGTTTGATGAAGCTCCGTTCGGAATATAACGATTTGTGAAGGTAACATTAACCAAAAGAATGCTTATGAGAGTTTGTGTCTGTGTACATTATACAATCTTCATTCGAGTAGTCTTATCTCCTCCCAGGCTGCTGTTAGCGATCTTCAGAATCAACCAATTGTCAATGCTGTAATTGATGCAGATGACATAATATATAGAGATTATATCGATGTCAGTGATGCTGTTGGTACCCCAAAGGTCTGTCGCAATTTCCATCAGTCTATATAAAGTGATTGAGTAATGTGGTTGGGATTTCTTTCTGCAGCAACATTCTGACATCCAATTTTCTCGGATTTGCATGATCATGTTATTTATACTTTACATGGACCATAAAACGAGCATGAAGGATACAAAAAAGAACTTATCGTTGCTTTCGATATTCTCTGCCTGCACTCTGCACTACCTTTTTTGTTTAAAATGTACAAAAGCCCTCAACTGTGCTTTGCTTTCTAATTCTCCATCGGTATCTGAAATGGGGCTGCTTTGTTTGACATGCCTCTCCAGGGTCTTGTAGTCAGGGCGGACCCAGGATAAAAATTCAGGGGTTGCACAAAAAAATTCTTATAAATTTTTTTAGGGGTTGCACAATATTAAAGGTGACACTTGTATTAATTAAAAAAAATTAGAAAAAATTAACACTAAGTAGACAATTTTGTTGTATAAATTTTTTTTTCTATAAGAATTTATCTGAAATATAAGAATTCTACCTAAAAATCACAAAATATATATATATAAAAATACTAAAATAATATCATTTGATCAATGTTCTTTACAATTTGAGGGGTTGTCCGGGCTACCCCTGGCAACCCCTGGGTCTGCCCCTGCTAGTAGTTCCAGTTATCCGATATGCTGACAGAATGAACTTTGCTGAAATCGAGAAAGGGATAAACGACCTTGTTAAGAAGGCAAATGATGGGTCGTTATCAATTGATGAGATGGCAGGAGGCTCATTCACGATATCCAATGGCGGTGTTTATGGAAGCCTCTTAAGTACTCCAATTATAAACCCTCCTCAGTTGAGATGCTTTGCAGCCAGTTCGCAAAGTTTTACTGCAGGTACATGGCATTGTATTCACAATCATACATGCCAGATCCGACATGTTTCTTCCAAGTTCTCGTTTTTACTAACAGTTTGTTCTTTCCGACTTTATCAGTCGGCCATTCTGGGAATGCACTCCATAGTTAGCCGTCCAATGGTTGTGGCGAAGTTGTTCCGAGGCTTATGATGTACATCAAGCTGACATACGGCCATCGACTGGTTGATGGAAGGGAAGCAGTATACTTCTTGCGTCGCATTAAAGACGTCGCGGAGGATCCACGTAGACTGCTGCTGGATATATGAGGAGACCAAACAAGCAACAGTCTATTAAATAGCCAGGATATGGCATACATTTCCGTTGATTAAGCCTGGATATGGCAAAAACATTTTCTTGGTGTAGAACGGTCCGTTTGTTTAACGTAAAATTTTTTTTGGAAAATATTCTTTATTTTTCAGTGTTTAGTTGGAGGAAAACTAGTTGATCAACGTAAAACATTTTCCTGGTCAACAGAATTCTCTTTATATTTTCAGTAAAATGACTTACAGTCTGATTTTTCGTAAGTCATTTTCCGAACTTTTCATTTCAAAGAATAAATACCGAAAATAATTTTATTTTATGAAATTAATATTAATAAAATATTTTAATATCATTTTAATCAAAATATTAATTATTAAAATATTTAAAATATATTTATTAATATTTTTAATAATATAATATTTTTTTAATATTATAATAAAACAATTAATTATATTATAATAATGTAAGATATTATATTTTTATTTTAATAATATATAATAAATTATTAATAAAATTTATATTATTTATTAATTTCATAGAAATAATATTATTAAATTATTAATAATGAATAATATTATTTATATATTTAATATTAATATAATAATATAATAATATTTTAATAAAGATATTTAAAATATATTAATTAATATTTTTAAAATATAATATAACACTATTACTTTAATAAATAATTAATATAGTTTATAATATTTTTATTTTAATAAAATATATCAATATTAATATTTTTATTAATAAAATTATAAAATAATATTTTAATAATAAATAAATTATTTTAATATTTTTAAAATAATAATATTAAGTTTTATGATAAATAATATTATTTATTGTATTTTAATATTTGTAATAAATAATTTTTAAAAAATTCATCAACTAGTGAAATTTTTTTAAATAATTTATTTCAAACATCGTAAAACGTTTTCTATAAAATATTTTTCAGAAAACATTTTTCAAAAAACGTAATTCATTTTATAGAAAATATTTTTCAAAAAAACGTTTTCAGTGAAACAAACAGATCCTAAATAACAACTGAGATTTCCGGGGCTTCCTATACTTGCATTTTCATCAAAATTTACAGTAACACTTCAAATATTAACTATTTTGGATGAAATTGAGTTGAAAGGATGTTTCGTAATAAAATTTTCTAGTATACGAATGGGAATTAGTCGATGGAGAAATGTGTCTTATGGTTATAAAAAGATAGCTTGGGCATTACTAACAGGAAAAAAAAGAAACTTTCGTGGTCGATACAACCCAGATCTCACCAACTCAGTGACCTCTCAACAACATGGGACACCTATCTGAGAATCTAATCCCCTGTACTCGCTTCCATTACAGAGCAGTTTAGATTAGACCTTGTTAACCGAGCTGAGACGAATTCTAGTATAGTTAAACTCGACTCTATTTTAAAAAATTTAAAATTCAACTTGACTCGAAAGTTTGTAAATTTAAGATTATTAAGTTGATTCAAATTTAAAATTGTTTCGACTTATTAAAATCAATTGAATTTTAACTAAATCCGATTCCAATAACTTTCTATAAGAATAGTATCATTTATGTTCTTAGTAACTGGCTCATAAGAGGATCATACACCTTTGTTAACCTCGAACCAAATCAGAAACATACATTAGATTCATTGTAATGGCAGCCGTTAGATGAAGTTAAGACATGAACAGAACAAAACAAGGATTTGGGAAGTGGTGAAATAGCTCTAAAATCCCTTTAAGCACCACTCGCTGAGGATTTGGTATCCTCCACCTACCTCATTGCCACCAACCATTTCCTCGTTTTTTTTTTAATTTTTCTTTTTTGTAATACCCAAATATATTTTTATATATATTTTCTTTCACGCATATAAAAGACTAGCCTTTTTTTCGTTAATCTTTTGGCCCAGAGCTGGCAGAGGAATGCTCTTTTTGTGCTATCTGAAATTGCTCTCCTTTTGAAGAACGCAAATAAGGGCTCTTTGTAAGCTTTTTTCACTCCTTTTCACTGAGATCTTGATGATTGGTAGCATTGGGTTTCTTTGCTTGATTTTGTTAAATACCTTTTTTTTCTGTTTCGATCATTTGCATCTCAAAAACTGTGGTAAATGTCGGGGTTCTCATCGTACATAGTCGGATTATTTTTTTGAATGTCTCTATTGGATGCTTCAGATGCTGATTTAGTGATATTAGATCGTCTATTGGGTTATAATCTATCAAGAAATCCATCTGATGTTTTAGTTTGTAATTTCTTGTTGGATTTGTGGCATCGACTCATTAGATTGTGTTTTTTGAACCCCATATAGGCTCAATGTTGTTAATTCAGTTTTCCCCTTTCAATTCAAATGTTTCGATTCCGATAAGGATTCTGTTTAGTATTGCCCAAGTAAATGCTGTTCTTAGTGTTACACTATTGTCTTGTTTCTGAAAATGTACTCTTTCATCAGATATTTCGGCTTTACAAGATGAGGGGAAGTCTTTGGCAACTCGGGCAATCAATTACTCGTCGTCTTGCTCAGGCAGACAAGAAGGTTGTGTCACGTCGCTACTTTGCTTCGGAGGCTGATCTGAAAAAGACTGTTCTTTATGATTTCCATGTTGATAATGGCGGGAAGATGGTTCCATTTGCCGGATGGAGCATGCCAATTCAGTACAAGGACTCGATCATGGACTCAACCGTGAATTGCAGGCTGAATGGTGGACTCTTTGATGTCTCCCATATGTGTGGGCTGAGCCTTAAGGGAAAGGACTCTGTTCCATTCCTTGAAAAGCTCGTTATTGCTGATGTAGCTGGCCTTTCCCCCGGAACCGGAACTCTAACTGTCTTTACTAATGAGAAGGGAGGGGCGATCGACGATTCCGTGATTACCAAAGTGAAGGATGATCATATATACCTGGTTGTGAATGCAGGCTGCAGGGATAAGGATCTGGCTCACATTGAAGAGCATATGAAGGCATTCAAGGCCAAAGGCTGGGATGTCTCGTGGCACATCCATGATGAGAGATCTCTTCTAGCTCTCCAGGTTAATCACTAGACCCTTCGGATTTTACGTCTCCAATCGTTTTGCTTCAAGCAATTTGCTGGTGATTATCGAGTCAAACATACATACTTTTCTTGCTTTCTCGAGTTGTAGTAGTCCGTGCAAATGTGGCGATGATTGTTGGTCAGTAGCATGGATTAGCTGGTTAATGAAACTGTAGCATTTGAACAATGTTGAAACATTTGCTTTTTTTTTTTTTTGTATTACAGGGACCTCTTGCTGCCCCAGTTCTTCAACATCTGACAAAGGATGATCTGAGTAAGCTATATTTCGGGGAATTCAGAATATTGGATATCAATGGTGCAACATGTTATCTCACTCGGACAGGGTAATACTCGATTTTGTTTCGTCTTGTTATTCAAAGAGCAGTGTTTTGGTTGGCTAGTTGATGTTATCATATGGAGTGTACTATATAAAGTTGTCTTCTTCAATCTACATTTCAGGTACACCGGTGAGGATGGATTCGAAATCTCGGTTCCTTCAGAAAATGCTTTGGATCTTGCTAAAGCTATCTTGGAGAAATCTGAAGGGAAGGTAAGGTTAACAGGACTCGGAGCTCGAGACAGTCTCCGACTGGAAGCCGGACTTTGTTTATATGGCAACGACATGGAACAACATATAACACCGGTCGAGGCCGGACTAACATGGGCCATAGGGAAGAGGAGAAGAGCTGAAGGCGGATTCTTAGGGGCTGAGGTAATCCTGAAACAACTAGCGGAGGGTCCGTCGATCAGGCGAGTCGGCTTCGTCTCCACCGGACCACCTCCACGATCCCACAGTGAGATCCAAGATGAGAAAGGGAACAACATCGGGGAGATCACGAGCGGAGGATTCAGTCCGTGCCTGAAGAAGAACATAGCAATGGGATATGTGAAATCCGGATTACACAAGGCGGGAACCAAAGCTAAGATCCTGGTAAGAGGAAAGGCTTATGATGGAGTTGTCACAAAAATGCCTTTTGTACCAACAAAATATTACAAGCCATCATCCTAAGATCAAAATTTACACTTACAGTCCCTGGGATTATCTCAGCTGTTTCCTGCTTCTGATTTGGTTTTCTTTTTTCATTAAACTTTAACATCTGCAATCAAATACCTATGTCTGGTTTTTCTATTAACCTGTTGTTTATTGTTTGCAATTCCAATTTCTCGAATAATGATAGTGATTTCTTTGCATCAATAAGAGAATTCCGGGGATAAAATCGCCATTTGGAATTTGGATGACGATTCCAAGAAGCGTCGCTCTATGTGGTTGCTTGAAACAAATGGACTTCAGTGTATCGGATTTACTTCTCTAAGCAATTAAATATTGGAATTGAGGACACCAAATTGTACACATAAAATCAAAATAAATAAAGGTCTAACTGTGGTTTTAGTCCCTCTATAGTTTTACTATTAATCGAATATGATAGATTGATTATTTTTTTCCACTTGATATCATGGTATTATATATTTAGAATTTTTCTTAGTTATTGACAATATACATACATTTTATAGATGTAACTATTTGAACTTGAATTTTTTAAGGAGAACAACATTACATTTTACTACTACACCACTCAATGGGTTAAATTACAGTTGAAAAAAGTAATAACAAAAATAATAAAGATTAAATCATAAATTATATTATAGTATAGGGACTAAAACCTTAATTAGGCCTAAAATATAAGAAGAGAAATTAATTTCCTTCAAACAACCGAATATCTGGGAGCCATTCAAATAACTAGTGGCGTTAACCATCAGTTCATCACAAAGATTCTTCCTTCTACATTTCAAATCTTCTCATATCAACCCTTATCTGGAAAACGATTTCGTAAAAACCCTCCAAGGTAATATACTGAAATTTTTGTAAATAAATTTTGTTCTTGATCATCTGTATTCTCTCTTTGGTTTCAAATTTAACTTTTCAAAGATAAAAGAAATAGTAATTCCACTATGTTTGATGTTCATGAATAAAAAAAGCGATAGTTTTCGAGTTTAATCACCAAATTCATTGATGGGAGTTTCTCAAAGTAATGGAATTTTCTCTTATTCTGCAATCATTTTTGTTACTTCTTATTCGTTTCTTATTTTGAAGGTTGTATAATCGTAGGATGGTTCCATGATGTTAGTGGTAAATCCTCCGGGAAAAATCAACCAAACCCAGACATTTCTGGGCAGCTCCATCCTTCTTAGTAAACTGCCTTGTGTTTCAAAACCTGCAATTCACCATATCTTACCGGGGATTCACTGTAACAATTTACTTCATATTCATAACTCGTTGCCTTCATGGAAAGATTCCAGTAAGCTTTCAACCTATCTTGTATCGCATCGGGTTGCCCCGAAGAGATGGCTGGTTAGGATGATTGAGCTTAAACTCTTTCATTTTTACTTTGTTTTTGTAGAAATAAAATGGAGTGTTTACACTTTATATGTTTGAACTATGATTTTAACTCTAGTGTCAATCACATGGTTCTGCTTCATCCGATGATGAGTATCGGTCGTCGCGGAATATAGCGATCAGCTTGTTTAGGCTATACAGGAATGCCATCGAACGTGGAGGAGGTGACAACCTAAAAGTATATTCAATGATTTGCTTGCTTGCTTGATCTGTTTTTTATCCGAATGAGTTGACCATATATGTTGGCCTTCCTTCATTTGATACTGTTGGATTGATGTTGTATCTCAGGAGTTCATTAGTGCCGGGGTCAATGCATATGCATTGGGCTGCACTGATGAAGGATTGGGGAAAGAACTTATCGCCATGAAGGAATCCGACATCGAAATCGTATTAATGCATAGTTATGGTGGAAGGACCAGTCTGAAATCCAGGATTTGTGCAGAGGAGGTGACTTTTACGTTTGTTCTAGAGATCCTTTAGTATACCAGCAATATGCTATAACTTAGATGTGCTACATTCATTTTGCTTCGGCTCTTCGTTTTTCACAAGTATCGTGGTGTACGACACTTTTAGATATTGGATTGCAATATAATCCTCTAATTGCCCTCCAAATATATTAAAAAGAACTAATCCGACCCATATTTTTGCTGAAGTAAAACTTTCTTTCTGACTATCCAGGTTAATGAGTGTATTTTATGGCTGAGCATTATATTCATCACTATATTGTGCACACCACAACCAACTATAGTCCGATGTTCGTCTACACCGCCGGTTTCCGATGATGTCCTGCATCAGTGGAAAGGCTTTTGCGCTCTCATAGCAAATGCATATTTTATAAGAGGAATGGCGTGGTGAGATATACTTTTAAGTTTTAACCCTATCAGATATTGGTCTTTAACCTTTTCTTTGATTATCCTAGAATCTGCTGTGTTTATATGTTTTTAACAATAAAGAGTGAAACATGGATTCTTGTTTTGCCAAAGGCTTCCGGTGAAAACACTCCAGCTTAAGCAAATGGCGGTGATTGGACGTGCAGAGGAGCCGTCGGTTGTTGCTAGCCGAATGCGGTTAGTTTTTAGCACACTCGAGGTGAGTGAGTTGTTGCAGAGGAGGATTAGATGACTATGCACTTTGAGCTCCATAGGGGCTTAAAAGGATTCATGGTTGATCAATCTATGTTGCTTGCCAATGATTGTACTGTTAGATTTTGATTATCTGGTTTTAGTGGCTGTTGCAGGTGGTTAGTCCACAGTGGCCAAGAGCGTAACAAATTATTCAACGATGAGGAGATCCGATTTTCTGAGGATCATACGTCGGAGCATCGGTTCCTTTGTATATGTAGGAACATAAACAACACATTGTTTCTGCAGAATTGCCTGTATAATCTTGTGTTTATAATAACATTATATATTTGAATTTCTGAATGTATTGTGTATTTTATTATTGCAAAAGTAGTAAGAAGATGAAAGAGTAGATAAACATATGGAATTGGCATAAGAAGAAGGGAACATTGTAGATGTATACTAGCCACAACAGTTTAGGGTTTAGCATTGTCATTAGATGAGGGTTTAGCTACAGTGGTACCCATGCCAAAACCAAGTCCAATGCCCATTCCGAATCCCATATTCATGCCATTCTTGCCATTTGAACCGCCTACACCCATGCCTTCTCCATGTCCATATCCTTCACCTCCACCACCACCACCTCCTCCTCCTCCCCTGCCAGTTATAACAATGCCACCACCTGCACCATAGCCATTACCATGGCCATATCCCCCATTAGAACCTGTACCAGCGCCGCCACCGCCACCACCACCTCCTCCAGTCCCAACTCCAATATTGGCACCATATCCACTACCATGACCAAACCCTTCACCATAACAACCATAACCATTTCCACCTCCACCTCCTCCTCCAATATCAACTCCAATACCGGCACCGTATCCACTACCATGACCAAACCCTTCACCATAACAACCATAACCATTTCCACCTCCACCTCCTCCTCCAATATCAACTCCAATACCGGCACCGTATCCACTACCATGATCATAACCTCCTCCACCACCACCGCCACCACCAATACCCCCCACACCACCTCCCGCTCCAAATCCTTTTCCATGACCAAACCCAACACCATCACCATCAACACTAGCACTACCTCCGCTACCTCCACCTCCTCCTACCCCACCAATGCCATTGCCTTCTCTTGCCCAGCACCATACCCTTCCCCATGTCCAACACCATTACCTGAGGATCCACCGGCAGCAGCATTAGCACTACCACCTCCACCTCCACCTCCCACCCCTCCAATGGCATTGCCTCCTCCTGCACCATACCCTTTTTCATGTCCAACACCATTACCTGAGGAGCCACCGGCAGCAACACTAGCACTACCTCCACCACCTCCACCTCCTACCCCACCAATGGCATTATCTCTTCCTGCACCATACCCTTTCCCGTGTCCAACACCATTACCTAAGGAACCTCCTCCTCCTCCTCCTTCTCCATCACTAACACCATAATATTTTCCACCTTGTCCAAAGAAGCAGCCAAAACTTCGCCAACTTCTATATGAGCAATAATCATCATCTTCATTATCACCACATCATCATCTTCATTATCACCACCACCACCATACCTTCGAATTAATAATGAATTTTAGAATGATAATAATATTTCTTTATTCGATTGGAGTGAGAATTGACTGCTTTAAGGCATGAGATGTATTTTATTCTCGATAGGAAATAATTAAATATTATCGTTTTTCGTCCTAAAATTCAAAGGTGTTGTTTAAAGGGATCATAAATTAAATTAAATTCGAACTTGTAAATTTCATTGCAAAGAAAACTAATTGATCGACTACGTACCGATTTAGGGTGTGTGGGGTGCTAACCCTTCCCCATGCGTAATTGACTCCCGAACTCAATTTTTTTGGAACGTAGACCTAAAAATGTCGTTTTGATAAAATTAAAATTAAATTTATTAAAATGACAACCGTTTTGGGTGCCCAATCACACCCTAATCGAATATTAGTGGTGACTCCTCAAACCGTTTTTTTATTTTAAAAGGAAACATCAAATTAATCAAAACGATATTTTTTTAATCACACTTAATTGTAACACCCCTAACCCGTATCCGACCCGAATATGAGTCTGAGGTGTCACATTGACTTTTCAAACTTTGACACTTAAAGAAAACAGAGAAATTTTAAACTTTCATTAAAACCAAATACCTTAATTTACATAAAAGAAACCACAAAATACTAAATCGATCAGAGCATTCATAACAAACACTTTTCTTACATGCCAACACTATACACGACAAAAGACATACTTTATCCGTTACTTCTGATCTGATCTTCTAGCAGTGCTGCTGTTCTTACCACCCTATTTCCGCTCTTCTTGATTCTTGGTACCTACGTGTAAATCACTTACATGCTAAGTCATAGACTTAGTGAGACATATAAATATAATAATAATGCATTCCGTATGAATATGAACATGCAATCTATCCATTCAATCATGTCATATACAATTCAATGTAAACAATAATAATATGGTAACATATAACTATAACAATGCAATTACCTTTGATAACCTTTTATAGGCCCATGTACATTTTTTATAACTCAAGGTATTCAAGTACATTGAGGTTGTGCACTATGCTGTCACCACAGCTCGTATGGGTCCCACTAGGGGCTATGAAATTTGTCCCGAATGACCTATGTACTATATTTGTCCCAAATGACCACTCCTTAAGAACCATATACATATTCCAGTGGATCAAATCTGTCTCAAAAGACCCTGTAAATGTTTCAAAGGATACATATATGTCCCGAAGTACCACATAGAACCCTCGACTCTTGGCATGCCAACTATACCTATAGCTCTCATATCGTATACCATGGACATTATTCTTATGTTTCATATGTTCATGTATTCATGTCATTTCTCTTGTGATCACATAACTCATATCACTTACCATGTCACATGTGCATTTGAATCTATTTACATATATCATTTATCAAATCATATGAACATACATACTTTATGCATGTATCATAATAATTATCATGTATGCATGTTCATAACTATTGTGCTATGAAAATCAATATAGGAATTACATTTATCACAAGTCTTATTCCATTGTACCATACTTATAATATGTACTCACCTTAGCCTTGCTTTGACTCGATTCTAATCCTTCAATTATTCCGGAATGAGATTACGTTCTAAATCTACATAGTAATACATTGATACATATTAATATACTAATTGATATATTCTAAACTATCACTCCTTAGGCTAAAAAGAAAGCTATTTTTATCTTTTAATGAAGGTATGCATCGATGCACTACGCCATGTATCAATGCATCCTTTGACGGGTGCATCGGTGCACTATCTATGCATCGGTGCATAAATTCCATTCGATGTTTGTATTTAAGGGGTGCATCGATGCACTACTTGTGCATCGATACACTGATGGCATTCGATGTTTTTATTTTAAAGGAGTGCATCGATACACTTCATGTGCATCGATACATCTTGAACAATTTCTGGGATTTACTCATGATGCATCGGTACACAATGAATGTGTATCGAAGCACTCTGCCCAGAATTCACTTCTTGAACCCGAAAACTTATCCATTTTGGCTTAAATCCTTCATCTTTCATCCCCTTTTATATTCTTAACTCCAGTACACATACTTAAACCAATATATACTCATTTATTTCATCTTAAACCTCAAAAATCCTATATTCCTCATGAAATTCAAGAATTATACCAACTTTGCAACATGATTAAATTCCACTTTTAACACTTTGTTTGTCTTAACTAGATTGATGACAAGTCAAATTTAACTTCCAATTCTAGATATGAACTTTATTCCAAGATTTCATTCAAAAACTCACAATCTTTAATCTCTTCTAATTCCATCATCTTTTGATTTTAAGATAACTTAAGCTTAGTTATCATCTAATAATCATAAACCAATGTTAAATTTAACAAGAAACTAACTAACCAGAAACTCACCTTTGTTTTGGGTTCCCACGCATGAAGGAAGAAGAAGAGAAGGAGAACTCTAGAAGCTTGTAGATTTCTCTTCCCTTCCACGTGGTTAATATATAACATTTCTTTAATTTAATTATTTCCCTTACAAAAGACCATTTTCCCCTTCACTTCATCTAATAATTACTTACTTTTTTTTAGGTAATATTTTTAAATGAATCATTGAACTATTCCATTCTTCTACTTTAGTCACCAAGTTCTGAAATTTTTACAATTTAGTCACTAACCCATAGATTGAGATGTTACATAATTAAAAATTAAATTTATTTTTTAATAAATCGTTTCGAAATTAAAAATATTGTTTTTAACATAATAAGAGAAAACATCAAACTTAAGGATCCATTTGATTCTAGAAAATATAGGTTATTTTATTTTTAATTTCTTAGAAAATAAAAAACATGTTTAGTTGTGAAATTAGAAAATGATTTCTAAAAAATGAAAACAAAAACAAGTGAAAATATGAAAACATAAAAAATATGTCTTTATTGTTTTCATTAAAATTATTTTTAAAAAAAATAGAAAATTGTTTTCATAAATTGATTTTTTAATACTTTAATTTTATAGTATTTTTATATTTAATGTATTGAATATTTTATTAAATTTTTATATTTTAAAATTAATTATTTTTTAATTTTTTTTTTAAATTAAATAAGTCCTCAAATTAAAAAAATATCAATTATGCCCTCAAACTTAATAAAAAAAACAAATAAACTCATCTATCACATAATCGTCCATCATGTACTATCACAATAATATCGTGAACTATCACATCAAAATATTATAGATTGTCATGTAAGTTTTATAAATTATCATGTAAGCATAATGACGGTAAACTTCCATTGTTCAAAGGGTGAGATTGATCTTTTTTTTCTTCTTAGTTTAAGGGTCACATTAAGTGCAAAAAGCGTGTATGGAATACACTAATTTACCCCAAAAAGTTTGAGAGCCTCAATTACTATTAACCATATTTTTATTTTGATGACAATTTTGTGTGCTCTTGGTTACAATAATATTTTATTATTTTAAAATTTAATTGATGTTATGACGCGTTAACATTATATTCTTATTATAAATTAAAATAATTTTTGTGTTAAAAATTTCTTATCAACTTCATTGTTCTATATTTGCATAATTCATATGATGAATTTATGTAATAAATTTTCAATAATTATAATTTAATTTAATTTAATTATTTAATAACTATTTGTTCAATTTTATTTAAAAGACTTAGGTATCAAATACGTTTTCGTTATTTTTATTTATGGAATATATGCCCCAACTGCTGATAGCGTATCATTCAAGTTCATGTTTCATGGGTCTGTCTTGTTGTACGATGATCTAACTTAATTTTTTTTAAAAATTTAAAATTTTATTGGATTCAACTTAAAATTTATAATATTTTTAGTTACAACAGATTTATACCGTTTTTTAATTTATATATATTAACAATTTGTATTTTAGACTCTATTATCTTAATTATTATTTGGAAAATGCAATTATGATCACTCATAGCATTCATAATTTTCTTATAGTTTTGTTTTTAATGTTGCAAATTAGCCTTGGATTCAAGGGTCACGTAAACTTGATTTTGGATTGAGTAATCCAACTTGAATTTGACAAAAATGTTTTTATTTCATTTTAATTGGATCTTTGAAACTAATAAGACTTTTTTTTTCAAGTTTTAGAGATTTCTTTAGATTTTGAAGAAAAAGAATACTTTTAATCCTTCAAAATCTCCGGAAATATCAACAATGGTTAATGACTTATTGATATAGAAAGTCCCAAAATTAATTATTCCTCACACTCTTTTACATCTAATTAAACCCTTTAACTTAAAATTTAGAGTAAAATACACAAATGGTCAATCAATTATAAGACATTATTTTGTTAAGTGCTTGATTATTAAAAGTTATAAAATGATCATTCGACAATGCATATGTTCCAAAATCATCTTTTTTCGTTAAAACTTTACTGTTGTCAGAGCTGGACATTAACTTGTTGCCTAGGATTAAAATTCGATCCCAAAATCTTAAAAGACAATTACATCCCAGTCAACACGTTAACGTTCAACTTAGAAGATTATCAATTTTTAACGGAAAATGATGAGTTTGGAACATATGAATAGCTGAGTGACAATTTTGTAATTTTTAATAGTCGAATGTCTCAACAAAAAAATGCCCTATAATTGAGAGATCATTTTATAACTTTTTATAATTTGAAGATTAAACAAAGTAACATCTTTAGTTAGGGACCAGTTGTGTTTTTACCCTAAAATTTAGTTAAAGGCTTTTTATACCAATAAGCCCTACCTCCAGTGTGTAAAAAACTGTCCAGTCACCATCCATGTTGACAATTATGATTAAGATACTAGACAAATAGTGAGCTATTCAAAATTGATTTGATTAAAATTTGATAAATACTCAATTTGAATAGACTCGCTTAAATTTTTAATTAGTCGAAATGAGCTACTTGATACTCGAGTCGAGAAGCTCACAAGCAACTCAAAAATATGAATATATTAAGATTTTTTTAAAAACAATAAATTATTAAAAATGTGAACATTTTGTGCTGATTTTTTTTAAAAATATGTAATATAAGGTTTTTATGTATTTAAGGTTGAGGTTCGAGTTCGAGTTTGAGGTTTCAATCAAGTTAAGTTTAAGATTTTTTTTTTCATTTAAAGCTTTTTCGAGTTCGAGTTAAATTTGAAAAAAAAATTAGGCTCATGAGTTTTTTAAGGAAGTCGAGCTCAGCAATATTCGAGCTCCACTCGACTCGTTAACAATCATTTTACACTAGTAAAATAAGGGTAAACTACACATTTAGTTCCTAAACTATTATTTTTTGTCCCGTTCTGGTACTTCATCGTTAAAACCTTAATAGAACTGCTGCATGTGGCATCGAGTTGAGTGACGAATGATATAACTTTAACATAAAAGTGTCATGTTGTAACAGTTGTGTTGAGTTTTTAACTATGAGGTACCAAAACGAAACAAAAAAAATAAGTATGATTTTGAAACAAATGAAAGTTTAGATACTAAAATGGAAAAATAATAATTTGAGTACTAAATGTATAGTTTACCCTAAAATTAATGATTAATATTGGTAGAAAGTTATTTGGATAAATTTTTTAATTAAACTACTTGTTCATACGTAAAAGATTAAAAAGAGATTTAATAAATATGTTCAAATTTTAAGTCCACCTGAATTTGATTTGAGTTTAGGAAGACCTTACTTAATACAGAATTTGATATGATATTCTAGGTTAAAATTCGTATTTGACCGACTTAATTAAAAAAATTAATTTTATTAAATAAAATAATTATTTAATTTAAAATAAAAAAATATTATTATAATTATCTATGAATATATAAAATATAATTATAAAATTAAATGTGGTCAGGTGAAATTGAATTTTTTTTTTTACTGCGAGTTGAAACCCAACCTGATCACGCTAAAAGAACCTAACTCAATCGAAACCTAAAATTTTGAAACTAAGAAATTAACCGAACTGGGGTTGGATTGAATCGAAATAAAATTGTCATCTCAACTCCCAACCAATCCCAGAACCCTAAGCAAGGAATCCAAGGCGCTAGGATCTTAGTCTAATCAATCATCATTCGATTCAATACATGTTATTTACCTTTTGTCTATCAATTCAATTCAATCAATGATGACTTTGAAATTTCAATTATCATCAACATAACCCAACAGAGAATAACAGAAAACAAAGTGTTGGTGCAGTGTCGTCGAGGTCGAGCCACAATGCAATTGTCACACGTGAATCAAGCCTGGCCTATGCATTTAGCCTTTGGTCACCTTCGTCATGATTGGGGGAGGTAGCTACACTGTTAAGTCTTGTCTAAAGCAATCCAGAGTGTTCCAAGCATATCATATCCGCCATTTCATATTCCAATATATATATCGACTCTAAAAAGTTAGAATATGTAGATATTTACCCAACAAAACAGTGTAAAAACAAATGAAGCAGCTTTCTCATATTCCCTACTGGTTATCTCCTTTTTATGTACATAGCTTTCAAGCAAGAGTGAGTTCTAGAGAAACATCATTCACACCTAAGGTCTCAGCTTTGCTATGCCTTAACATCGTCTCCGAAACTTTCGAGTTAATCGAACAATCCGACGCCGTTCTCTCCGCAGCTGACTGATGATTGCACTTCCGATTCGCAGCACCGTGTAGCGGCTCCAAGTTCGGATGTTCATTGTTCTCCTATCGAATCGAAAGAAGAAAAAAAACACTAATTTCTTGGTGTTCAATCAACAAAAAAGAACAGAAACAAAGAGAGATCAGTACCTGGTGTTGGATCATAAACTTGATCCATTATGGGAGCCTAAACCCAAACCCAAACTAAATTGATGTCATTACTTACATCATTTAATTAAAGATGTCATTGCTTACATCATTTAATTAATGATGTCATTGCTTACATCAATTTAGTTAGGTGAGAGTTAGATATTTGTTGAATTTGTAATGGTTTAAATTAGTTTATTTGTGTGGTGTAGGATTGTTCTTGAGTAGTATAAATACCCCTTCCCATTTTAGTTTTAAGCATCAAGAAAAATTAAGAGCTTCTAAGTGAGTGAAGAAGCAAAGTCTTATAAGAGTGAGTTGTAGTTCTTGTTTTTGAGTGAGAGTACTCTTGTAATATTTGTTTGAGTTTCAATAAAAGTTGTTTGTGTGAGCGTTTTATTTCCAACAAAGTGGCATCAGAGAGAGTTGGAAAGATCGAAGGTCTCGACGAGAGGAATACGCCGCTGCCAGAATTTTCTCAATCTGAGTTCTGACGCACCGCCACGCACCGCCGGAAGACTGCTGCCAGAAAATCGAGTTGACTCACCGAGTTGAGCCGATTCAGCCGAGTTGGAGCCCTTGACCGAGGTGTCCAAGTCCCTCCAAAGTTTTTTTTTCATCGTTCCGGATTCATCCGTGCAATCGGATTTTACAAAATCTCATTATTGAGAGATATGGCAATGGTATGGCACCATTCCAAGTTCCGACACTCAACAACAACAACTACGACAATTGGAGTATCAAAATGAAGGCACTTCTTGGATCACAAGATGTGTGGGGATATCATAGAGAAAGGCTATAATGAGCCTGCGGATGATGATGTTTTTGCTACTCTTACACCAGATCAAAAGACAACTTTGAAGGATTCAAGAAAGAGAGACAAGAAGGCTCTCTACCTCATCTATCAAGCATTAGATGATGATGGTTTTGAAAAGATTTCAAGTGCAAGCTCTAGCAAGGAAGCGTGGGAGAAGCTGCAAACCTCTTACAAAGGATCCGAGCAAGTGAAGAAGGTTCGTCTCCAAACATTAAGAGGTGAATTCGAATCCTTAAACATGAAAGCATCTGAGTCTATTTCAGTTATTTCTCAAGAGTAGTAGCTGTTTCTAATCAATTAAAAAGAAATGGTGAAAAGTTAGACGATGTGAGGATAATAGAGAAGATACTCCGTTCGTTGGATCCCAAATTTGAGCACATCGTCGTGACGATTGAAGAAACTAAAGACTTGGAAGAAATGAAGATCGAACAGCTCCAAGGATCATTGCAAGCATACGAAGAGAAGCATAAAAAGAAGCATGAGTTTACTGAGCAACTCCTCAAGCTGCAACTCAAGGATATGCATGAGAGCCAACGCAATGATAGAAACCAACGTGGCCAAGGCAGAGGTAGAGGCCATGGACGAGGTGGAAGTCGAGGTCGTGGACGAGGCTGGAATTACAACAATAACAATTCCAACAACAACTATGAGAAAGGAGAAAGCTCAACACGAGGCCGTGGAAGAATTAATCCAAACTCAAAGTATGACAAATCTCAAATTCGATGTTATAATTGTCAAAAATTTGGGCATTATGCTTCAGAATGTAGAGCTCCCAACAACAAAATTGAGGAGAAGGCCAATTACGTGGAGGAAAAGACAGATGGCAAAGAAACTCTTCTTCTAGCACGAAAGGAAACTGATGGTGGCCAAGCAAATTCCTGGTATCTTGACAGTGGTGCAAGCAATCACATGTGTGGAAGGAAAGACATGTTTGTGGAGCTAGACGAGTCAGTAAGTGGAAATGTTTCGTTTGGAGATGATTCCACAATAGCAGTGAAAGGGAGAGGTAACATTCTTATCCGTTTGAAAGATGGGAGACATCAATTTATTTCAAATGTCTACTATGTGCCCAATATGAAAAGTAACATTTTAAGTTTAGGGCAACTGGTAGAGAAAGGTTATGATATTCATATGAATAATTATAATCTTTCTATAAAAGATGATAAGAATAACTTCATTGCTAAAGTGCCGATGTCAAAGAATAGAATGTTCTTGATCAACATACAAAATGATGTTGCAAAGTGCCTGAAAGCTTGCTACAAAGATGCATCATGGCTTTGGCATCTTCGATTTGGGCATCTCAATTTTGGAGGTCTAGAGCTATTATCTAAGAAGGAGATGGTGAAAGGACTACCTCACATCAACCATCCTGACCAACTCTGTGAAGGGTGTCTAGTCGGGAAACAATTCAGGAAAAGCTTTCCAAAGGAGTCAGAGACAAGAGCTAAGAAGCCACTTGAGCTCATCCATACCGATGTGTGTGGACCGATCAAGCCAAGTTCTCTCGGTAACAATAACTATTTTTCTCTCATTGATGATTTTTCAAGAAAAACCTGGGTATATTTCTTGAAACAGAAGTCAGAAGTTTTTGAAGTATTCAAGAAGTTCAAAGCAGCAGTGGAGAGAGAAAGCGGTAGAAAGATCAAAGCCATGAGATCCGATCGAGGTGGAGAATTTACTTCCAGGGAGTTTCAAGAGTTCTGTGAAGCAAATGGAATTCGTCGACCAATGACAGTTCCTAGATCCCCCAGCAAAATGGTGTGGCAGAAAGAAAGAATAGAACAATCCTCGACATGGCACGAAGCATGCTCAAAAGCAAGAAACTACCCAAAGAATTTTGGGCGGAAGCAGTATCGTGTGCAGTCTACTTGTCAAATCGATCTCCAACAAGAAGTGTATGGGGAAAGACACCGCAAGAGGCATGGAGTGGAAGAAAGCCTGGCATTTCCCACTTGAGAACCTTTGGAAGTATAGCCCATGTTCACGTACCAGACGAGAGAAGAACGAAGCTTGATGATAAAAGCGAGAGTTTTATCTTCATCGGCTATGATGCTAATTCGAAGGGCTACAAGTTGTACAATCCAGACAATAAGAAGTTTGTGATTAGTCGAGATGTGGTCTTCAACGAAGAAGGAGAATGGGATTTTAACTCCCATACAGATGACTTCAATTTCTTTCCTCAGTTTGAAGAAGATGAGCAGACAATGAGGGAGCAACTAGATGAATCTCAACAAGAGCTTGCAACTCCACCCACTTCACCAACATCAACCACTCAAGGAGACTCATCACCTTCATCATCGTCAAGTGGGAGTCAAAGTGAAAGAGTTGTGCAACGCACAAGAAGCCTTAGAGATCTCTATGAGGTAATGAACGACAAGATAATCTTACATTATTTTGTCTGTTTGCCGATTGTGAACCAGTGAGCTTTCAAGAAGCGGTACAAGAAAAGAAATGGAGAGATGCGATGGACGAAGAAATCAAGGCCATCGAGAAGAATGACACATGGGAACTTACCTCACTTCCCAAGGAACATAAGGCGATAGGTGTCAAATGGGTGTACAAAACAAAGCAAAACGCCAAAGGAGAGATTGAAAGGCACAAGGCGAGGCTAGTTGCTAAAGGCTATAGTCAAAAGGCTGGAATTGACTATGATGAGGTATTTGCTCCTGTTGCTCGATTGGAGACTATCAGACTAATCATTTCTTTGGCAGCTCAAAACAAGTGGAAGATACAACAGATGGATGTAAAGTCCGCCTTCCTAAATGGAGTTCTTGAAGAGGAACTTTACATTCAGCAACCATCAGGCTATGAAGTCAAAGGGCATGAAGACAAGGTGTTGAAGTTGAAGAAGGCTCTTTACGGGCTAAAACAAGCACCAAGGGCATGGAATAGCCGAATCGACAAGTACTTCCAAGAGAATGGCTTCAACAAATGTCCCTACGAGCATGCTCTATATATCAAGATCAAAGATGAAGATATTTTGATCGTGTGCCTCTACGTGGACGATTTGATCTTCACTGGAAGCAACCCAAGCATGTTTAATGAATTCAAGGATGTGATGATGAAAGAATTCGAGATGACAGACATGGGGCTCATGGCGTACTACCTTGGCATTGAAGTTAAGCAACAAAATGATGGAATTTTCATTTCACAGGAAAGCTATGCAAAGGAGATACTGAAGAAGTTCAAGATGGAGAACTGTAAGCCAATAAGCACACCGGCAGAATACGGGATCAAGATGACCAAACATGAAGAAGGCGAAAGTGTAGATCCAACATTCTTCAAAAGTTTGGTAGGAAGTCTACGCTATCTAACTTGCACGAGACCCGATATTCTTCACGCAGTTGGATTGGTTAGTCGCTACATGGAATCCCCAACAACCACCCATTTTAAAGCCGCAAAGAGAATTCTTCGCTATCTGAAAGGTACAATTGACTTTGGCTTGTTCTATTCAGTTTCTAATGATTACAAGCTTGTTGGATATAGCGACAGTGATTGGGGTGGAGACATAGATAATCGAAGGAGCACTACTGGATTCGTATTTTTCATGGGAGATATTGCATTCACATGGATGTCAAAGAAACAACCGATTGTCACATTATCTACTTGTGAAGCGGAATATGTTGCTGCTACCTCATGTGTTTGTCATGCAATTTGGCTTAGAAATCTATTGAAGGAGATTGGTTTGATACAAGAAGAGCCTACCAAGGTTTGTGTCGACAACAAGTCAGCCATTGCCTTAACGAAGAATCCAGTATTCCATGATCGAAGCAAGCACATTGATATTCGCTACCACTATATAAGGGAGTGTGTTGCAAGAAAAGATGTGGAAGTTGAATATGTGAAGTCACAAGATCAAGTTGCTGATATTTTTACCAAGCCACTGACCAGCGAAGACTTCTTAAGATTAAGGAACCTACTAGGGGTCACGAGATCAAGTTTAAGGGAGGGTGTTGGATCATAAACTTGATCCATTATGGGAGCCTAAACCCAAACCCAAACTAAATTGATGTCATTACTTACATCATTTAATTAAAGATGTCATTGCTTACATCATTTAATTAATGATGTCATTGCTTACATCAATTTAGTTAGGTGAGAGTTAGATATTTGTTGAATTTGTAATGGTTTAAATTAGTTTATTTGTGTGGTGTAGGATTGTTCTTGAGTAGTATAAATACCCCTTCCCATTTTAGTTTTAAGCATCAAGAAAAATTAAGAGCTTCTAAGTGAGTGAAGAAGCAAAGTCTTATAAGAGTGAGTTGTAGTTCTTGTTTTTGAGTGAGAGTACTCTTGTAATATTTGTTTGAGTTTCAATAAAAGTTGTTTGTGTGAGCGTTTTATTTCCAACACCTGGATCGTGCAACTTTTGAGTAAATCCTTGAATATTATATATGAATTTGATGTGTGCTCAAATTCCCTGTAGGATAACTGGTTACTCCCTATGTTTCCATTCCTGCAGACATAAACAAAATCTCGGTACATTTTTATATTTAAATATTTGATACACTGACGATATATATAATTCTACCATTGTAGCGGCCGAAATACGGTGCTCGAAGGCATCCCTTGGATTCCGAGGCAGATACTTGGGAACGAATTGCGATTAAAGAGTCCCCCATGATCCTTAAACTGATGATTTTGTTGGTAGTTCATGTTCATCGGATCCGATACCTCCTCGTTCCTCCTTGCTGCAACACCCTCTTCTGCAATATCACACAACCAAACATACATATATACGAGACATACGTGAAAACTGTATGTATATATGATTTTATTTCTGTCATGCACTAATCTCGTATGTATATACCTTGCACCATCTGTTCATGCTTGGTGCTCCTATACATCTGTTCATATATATCAAACCAAATAAAGACTCTCAAAATACAAGCCAGAATTCGAAAACAAACAAAACTCAGAATTCTTTCAACATATATTATGTATATAGAAACCTGAAGATGACTCTTAACGTGAGAGATTGTTAGTCCTTTCACATCCATTATCTGTAAAACCATCTTTGGGGTTGCTCCTATATATATACATATATATTAGTAATTTGAGAAGAAAAAAAGAGGGTTAAACAAGGTATGATTGAGGAAGATAGCTTGCTTACTGTCTTCTCCACCCAAGCGTTCAACTGCATGCACGAAGCACTGGTGAAGATCAGGCGTCCATCTCAAACGAGGCATTTTGGATCTAACGTAAGGCCTCACGAGCGGCGGTTTCAGGATAATTTCTGGCAGATGATCGTCCTTATTGTGTCGCCTGATGACTCTCACGGTTGCCGCCGATGGTAACTGTGAATAAACACAGCCGGTGTCGTCGAGGGAAGAAGATGAAGAAGAATTTGGGACACCCTTTGAGCAGCCAACTATCAACATCAGCAATTTCATTCATTTTTGTTTCCTAAAGATGATTAGAGAATGAAATTGAAAGAGAGAAGAAGAAGAAGAAGAAGAAAGAGGGGGGGTGTTTAGTGAAAGTTGAAACAGAAAAGAGAATAAATACATGGGAAGACTTGTGTTGCAGGGAATTTGTCTTGTTCTGCAGCTTTTCTTAGGCTCTTTTAAGGGCCGTTTTTAGTCTATAGGAGGTTCGATTGGAAAAAAGGAAAATTTGGACACGGAATTTCAGAACTCAGTTTCTTCAATTAAAATAAGGGGAATAACTTGATTAATCGGGTGAAAAATACCAGAATCAAAATCAATCACAAATATGATAAAAAAAATTGGGTTAATTTCACTACGTCTTCAAACTATATCTCAGTTCTAAATGAGTTCTTAAACTTCAAAACCTTCTACTTGAGTCATAAAAGTATTAGTACCATATCACCAAGTGCATATACATAGTTAAATAGTTAAATCTAAACTGTTCTTATGATAGATACACACATACCTAAAATTTGATATGGATATTTTAAAAATATATTACACATTGTCTGAGCTAACATTCAGGGACGTAATCAAGAAATCAAAATTGTTGAACTCCGAACTTGATAGGGATATAAGCAGTGTATAAATCAAACAATATGGAGGCTAGGTTTTAATTTATTTAATTTTAAAATTCACAGACGTAATAAGTATTTAAATAAAAAAGTCGACACTTGACTAATTCCGACAGTTAAAAAAAACCTAGGAAGAAATTAAATTAGAAAATTAGAGGGTAAAGCTTCAATTAACTGAATTCAAAACTATTAAGGACTTGAAAAGGAATTACATCAAAAAATTGGAGGATCGAAACTTAATTAAGTCCAAAACTATTGGGTACTTATAAAGTAATCGCAGTGTTAGGGTTAGACTTGATTGATATAATATTTGATAATTTGAAAAGCAAGTAGAACATTTAAAATCTGAATCATAATTTAGGAATTTCAAATCAAAGTTATTCTTCGGGGGGGCATATATTTGCTGACGTCCATTGTTCTTTCTTTCAATTTTCTGTTGAGGAATATAAATGCGAATGTTGAATTCATTCATCGTCCAGGTTCTTACAATTAATCTCAAGCCTCAACTATTTTTGTAGGAGATTCTGCAATAAGGAATTGCAAAAAGAAAGAAAATTAGGAAAAAGCTAAACACAAACAGCTTTGACTAGAAAACAAAACATATGATCCTCAAACTCCTAAACTCAAATTTATAAAATAGTATTCGATTCACCGGTCAATTAATTCAAATTTATATATACGAGTAAGGTCTATTATAAGATCCTTAAACTCCTGTACTCCATTTACAAAAGAAAATTCAAACTTTAAACAAACATATCTTGTTATCCGACTAAACCAACTAATAGTATATATATATATAAATGAATTAGGATTCGCTTACATAAATTATAAAATTTTAATTTTATGTTTTTTAAATAGTTAGATGAGTGTAAATAGACGATTAATATTATCTTCTTATTTCTCTTTTCATATAATTAATCTTAGTTGTTAATTTTCACTCATCCAAAGATTTAAAAATATGTAAAACTAATTATATAATGCCAAAAATACTTTCAACTTTTGATTAAATAGTTATTTTGGTCATATTCTTTTATTTTTGGAATGTTTTAACTCAACATCTCATTTTAGGGTAAAAATGTCTTTACTACTTTACTAAATAGTCAATTTAATCTTTAGTAATCTTTTTTCTTTTTTGAAGTATTTTGGTCCAAATATTTCATTTTAGGACCAAAACAAAAATTATTTTAAAGCGTTTACAGTTTGCTGATTAAAGATTTTATTTATAAAGGAGTGTTTTTGTCCTAAAATAAAATGCTAAGTCAAATATATAAAAAAAACGATAAGAATCAAAGTGACGGTTAAATTAAACGTTAATTTTTTTGTAATGATCATGCCTATTTTAGTTTCTTTCTTCAAGCACTAAAGCATGGACAGTTTCATTCTATGTAAGAAGAAGCCAATGTTCACACTAACCAATCGAGTGAGGGGTTGTGTATACGCAAGCATTCATTTTTGTTCCCAGCTGGCTTGTGGTGCTCATGCAGTGGCCACGTCGAATGCCTAAAACGTCACACTGCGATGGCCATTTTTCTTTGCTATGGGGAATTGCCCAACACTGGGCGAAACCAACTTTTTGTCTGTCGGTTTCTAATGAAATTGCTGACAAAGGGGGTTTGAAAGGATGGCAACTCAAAGGTGACGGTTTCAAATTGTGGGGGGGGGGGGGATATTCCTTGTTGATGGAATTTGCCAGAATTGTGGACAAGTGTGTGTCTTGATGTCATAAGGGGTTGAAACTAAACTTGTATGAATTTAGGGGAATCTGGTTTTTAACGTTGATACTTACAATGTGGTTGTGGTCGATGTAGTATAGAAAAGGTCCTTAATGGTAATTTTAGAGAGTTGAAGGGCTTTTGGGATCGAGTTTCGAGAGATGTTCTCGTAATGGACCTAACCTAGTCGATTGTAGAGTCATGAAAACTTATAAACAGATACTAGAGAGTAAAGTTTGATTAAATCAATCTTGGATCACGTGCAAAGCTTGGAGTCGCCTAGTTTCATGTGGTCTTTGTCCGAATTTAGTTACAAGTTTGAGTTGTGATTGGGATTCATTCACATGTTCTACACATTTCTTGCTCAACATTTTATCCCATTTTGGAGAAACGTGGACATAGACTTGTCAAGAGGGGACAGCAAATCATTAAGCATAACATCATCCAACAATGCTTCATCCGGTTGGAAAACAGACCAAACATTGTTTTGGGGAATGGATAGGAGTGTAAATGAACAAAGCGTTCGGTGAAATATTTGTGAATCATTTGTATAACATTCGTTTATGTTTATTTGCTAAGTTAAATAAATGAGTGCGAACAAAATTTTTATGTTCATTAAATTAGTGAGAGAATTAGCTCGTTTATCGATTTGTTCGTTTATGTTCATGGACAAACTTATTTAGAAACTTATTTACTTTTTATTTTTTTACATTTTAAATATTATTGAATATATGGATTACATTAAAGACATGGAAAAATTTAGAGTTTAAACTATGAAAATTAAGGAGTTTAAGCACCATTGACGTGGTTTTACATTTTTTAGCTTTCAAATTGGCATGTTTGTTAACATAAAACCAAACATATGAAATAAAAATATTCACGAACACTAAACGAATATATTTACAAACATATATAAATGAACATGTTCATGAATGTTAAATGAATGAACACGAACACCTTAAAAAATAAATAAATGAACATGTTATTAAAAATTTAAATAAACTTGAACCAAATATGAACATCTTTAAAAATAAACAAAGATTTAAGCTCGTTCATTTGCATCCCTAGAAATGGGGAGCAGAGGAATGTGCATTTCTTGCAAGACCAAAATCAATTTTTTTTTTTTTACGTTTGCCACGAAAGACAATGTATGAATTCAATGCTAAATGATCATACATTGTTTCACCAATTGATCACAACATGAATGAATATCGAAATACAGAACGCTATTCAGGTGGTGTGGAAAGTGACGAGTTTTAGGTGGTGTTTGTTTTTGCAGAGGTAAAAGGTCTGCAGTCTGCGGACCACATCTGCAGACATCTGCAGCAAAAGAGGTGGACCAAAAGTCTGCAGCCTGCAAGAAGAAGACTATTTGTTTTTTAACGTCTGCAGACTTCTAAAATGAACTGAAATATAAATAAACTGATTTTTAAAACTTAAAAGAGTTTTGCAATACTGAGATTTAAATAATTTTAGTTTTACAATACTGAAATTTAAATAATCCATACAACTACAATAATAAATTATTTAAAATAAATCAATCCATATTTTAAAATAAATCAATTCATACTAATAAATTATTTAAAATAAATCAATTCATACAACTACAATAATAAATCAATCCATATTTTAAAATAAATTAATCCATACAAATAAATTATTTAAAATAAATCAATCCATACTAATAAATTATTTAAAATAAAGCAATCCATATTTTAAAATAAATCAATCCATACTAATAAATTATTAAATAAATCAATATATTTTAAAAAAATCAATCTACTATAAAATTATTTAAAATAAATCAATCCATATTTTAAAATAAATCAATCCATACTAATAATTATTTAAAATAAATCAATCCATATTTTAAAATAAATCAATCCATACTAATAATTATTTAAAAAAATCCATACATACAATAATAAATCAATCCATATTTTAAAATAAATCAATTCATACTAATAAATTATTTAAAATAAATCAATCCATACAACTACAATAATAAATCAATCCATATTTTAAAATAAATCAATCCATACTAATAAATTATTTAAAATAAATCAATCCATATTTTAAAATAAATCAATCTATACTAATAAATTATTTAAAATAAATCAATCCATATTTTAAAATAAATCAATCCATATTTTATAATAATTTATTTTAAAATAAATTATTTTAAAATAAATAACCTTATTAAATTATTTAAAATTATTTTAATAAATAACTATATTTTATAATTGTTCTTGAAGAGGTTTGAAGACATTTGAAGACATAAAACCATGTCTGCATCAATAAGAGCTTGAGCAAACGTTTGAAGAGCTTCTGTCTTCTAAAAAATAAATAGTCTACGAAGGCTAATGTATGCGCGTGGTCTACGCGATGCAGACATAAGTGATTTGAAGAGCTTACACAGTAAAAACAAAAACCACCTTAACCTTTCAGCTGCACTGCTCACTTCTGTCCAGTTTACCACCGCTCTCATCTTATGGACCACGTTCTTGTTAGTATTAACTACCAAATAATAATAAAAAGAAACAAAATAATTTATTGTTTCGTGCCATAAATAACTGCTTTTCTTCAGTTGATGCTGGATATTAATAGTTGAAATAGGTTACAGCAAATCCGAGAGACCTTTCTCGGATGTCAGGGTGCTTTTCAGGCAGCTCGGTTGCATCTGTACCAGCTAGGCATTGGAGTGACAATGGTGCAAGT